AATTGGTCCAGCTTCTTTCACTGAATGCATGATTCTGGAAATCTACATATTGGTTTTTACGGGGTGAAAGATACAATGATTTACTGAGAATAGGTGATGGAGATGGGAATTTTGGGGACTCTGGGAACAGCTACAGTTGGACCTCACAGATGTTGAATGCAAACACTGGAACTGGAGCGATTCAGTGCAGCTGCAGGAAATGGTATCTCACTGTCCTTTCAACAACAGGACTTCATTGACCCCCATCTTTGTTACCGTGACTCATTCCACTGCCTCTACTTCTGCCACTCCTTTGTTATCTATTACTTCACCATCCACTTTATACATCTTGACGCTACCTAATGGCTTCAGTTTACTGAAAACTTGCCCTTTTTATAGCTTCTCAGGGCTTCTTTCTGCTCTCTGATTTTTTAGCTTCTGCTTCCGCCATGTTATTTTCTCTTCCCATTTCCAGTTCAAATTCTTGAAAGAGAGTGGGTGCTCATGTCAGGTTACCTCTTGAGGTTGGCTGCCCTTGGGTTATACAGTTCATGAAGGGGGTCGTATGCTATAGATCATGACTCAGGTTGCTGCTTCAGCTGGGTCCACTGGCTGGGGTAGTTCCCTTAAAAAGGGAATCTGATACAGCAATCCCTTGAATGACCTCCCAAGCATACTCTTTTTGTTTTGATTGTATTTCTTTGATTTTTTTTTTCTTAAAGTATGTTTAACATACCACAAAAGCAACATTTTGATATATTTTTCATGTTTTTTTAAACAAAATTCTTTTTAATTTAAAATAATCATGCTATCTATTTTAACATGTTATCTATTTTAACTATTTTAACAACAGCTGTTGTCCAACTGACTTTAATAGAAATATAAAATATTTGAACTAGGTCGGGTACGGTGGCTCATGCCTATAATCCTAGCGCTTTGGGAGGCCAAAGTGGGCAGATCACTTGAGGCCAAGAGTTCGAGACCAGCCTGGCCAACATGGTGAAACCCTGTTTCTACCAAAAAAATACAAAAATCAACCAGGCACGGTGGCACATGCCTGTAGCCCCAGCAAGTCAGGAGGCTGAGGCACGAGAATCGCTTGAACCCAGGAGGTGGAGGTTGCAGTGAGCTGAGATGGTGCCACTGCACTCCAACCTGGGTGACAGAATGAGACACCGTCTCAAAAACAAAGCAAAACAAAACAAAACAAAAAAAAAAAAAAAAAAAGAGAAAGAAACAAAGAGAAAGATATTTGAACGAAATTTTTCTTAAAGTTCCTGAAATCTAATGTCTTAGGGAAAATGTTTATGTTTATAATGTTCAACTGTCACTTTTATACAGTTATTTGCAAGAAGATAAATGCATTTTAATAGTTAGTTTAGAATTATGCATGTGGATATAAGAGACTAGCAAAGATGAGCAGAAAAGATCTGGAATATGTTGACTTTTATAAAGTAGGTTAAAAGCATTTTCCTTTTGAAACAGAATGTTCTCTTAGGCATTTTTCTGGTGCTTTGCGATTAAAATATAAATGGTTATGTATAAAACTTAACTGCAGACTGTTATTGTTGGAAATTATTTTTATACACACAAATAGTGATGGAAAGGAAAGTAGACTGGAAACATAATTTGTGCTTTCGTTTTACTCTTAGAGGGAAGACAACTGAAATTGCCTTCTATACTACCTTACCACTGCAAAATGGGAAGTGAAGTCAGACAGTAAACTGCTTCTTGCAGGAAGGAAACAAATTATATATAAATACACATAGCCAAACTTCAGTTTCTCTCCACTCAATCTATCCTATGCACGGACCTGATTTGGCAATAGTAAAATGTTATATTATTTCCCTTTTGTCAACCTTGGGTGTATATTAGAACCACTTGGGAAGCTTTTTAAAAAACTCAATGTCTAGCCTCACACCCCAATTTTTTTATTTATTTAGTGTGGGGTGTGGTTTGAGTACTGATAATTTTGAAAGGCATCCTAAGTGATTCTAATGAGCAGAGAGGAAGCCACAAGGCAAAAGGAGAAAATCTGAACAACTGAGCTTGCCGTCAAGGTGCTCTATTATCTATCTGCAACCTAGCTTGCCAGGCTTGGCTGACCCAAATTGCCTCCCATGCCCTTTGAGCATTGCTTGTACTTCCTGTCTTGTGTTATCTCTCCAGGCATTCTAGGAGTTACTTTCTCACACATTTAATCTGGTTCAAATTCCTCCTCATTTTTCTAGACCCAGCCCATTTTACCTCTTTCATGAAGCCTTCCCTGACTGCGCTTGACTGCAATGCTTGCATCCTCCTCTGAAAACACAGTGGTTATTGCCTAGAAAATCATTTGAACAATGAATCAATTATGTACTGCCTTATGTAATCTCTCCACTGCTGCATTAAATAATTACTTTAATCTTTGCTTAACCTTTCATCTGTTTGTTATCCAGCTACCTATACTGTAAGCAAGTTTCTAGCATTCATCTATATCCTTGACAAGCCATGTGCCTTGTATAGTACAGGAAGTCAATAATGTTTACCTCTCCCTTCCATCCTGACTTCCACAGGTTTGGTTCAAGATTCTCTCCTGGAATCTTGTCCTGGTCTTGGCTGGCCTTCCTGCCACCAGACACTTTGGCTCTTCAAATCAGGTCAACACATTACTGGCACACATGGCCAATGACCTGTAAAACTGATGGGGGGTGTGTGTGTGCATGTGTACAAGTGTGCACTCTTTTGCCCACTCTTGTTTCTCTCTATCTTATGATTTGGCTGACTGGGTTTCTTTCCTTCCTTTGTCCCTCACTGTCCTACTCAATGGGACTTGATGGCAGAATTCAACTTCTCAGGTCTTGACCTCTGGTTTTCTCTCAGATGAATAACATGCTGCCTGGATCTTCCTGTTCCTATTCCTTTGAGTAAACACTTGTGCTGAACAGGCTCTGGCCAAGGGGACCTAAGTTAAGTCAATCTGATCTGTCAAGAGTTTCCTCTCTACCCTGTATTTTCTTTTTTTTTTTTTTTGGATTCTCACAATTTAAAAGAAACCTGATTGTATTGTCCACATGATTAAAAGCTGTTGTTGGTCCCTCATTGCCTTTAGAAGAAAATCTAAACCTGAGCTATCCAATATGGGAGTTGTTAAAGTTAAAATTAAAAATTAATGCCAGACATGGTGGCTCATACCTGTAATCCCAGCACTTTGGGAGGCTGAGGTGTGTGGATCACCTGAGGTCAAGAGTTCAAGACCAGCCTGGCCAACATGGTGAAACCCTGTCTCTACTAAAAATACAAAAATTAGCTGGGCGTGGTGGTGGGTGCATGTAACCCCAGCTAGTCAGGAGGCTGAGGCAGGAGAATTGCTTGAACCTGGGAGGTGGAAGTTGCAGTGAGCTGAGATCCCACCACTGCACTCTAGCCTGGGTGACGTATGGAGACTCTGCCAAAAATAAAAAATAAATAAAATAAATAAAAATTGAGTTCCAGCCGTGTATGGTAGTTCATGCCTGTAATCCCAGCACTTTGGGAGGCTAAGGTGGGAGGATCACTTGAGCACTGTACTCCAGTTTAGGTGACAGTGTGAGACCTTATCTCAAAAATAAATAAATAAATAAATTGAGCTCTTCAGTCACACCATGTTTCAAGTATTTGATAGCCACATGTGGCTAATGGCTACTATTTTGGACAACACAAATATAGAACATTTTCACCAGTGCAGAAGGCTCTGCTTGACAGTGCTTGTCTGAATATCTTAGTGTAGCTTGTGAGGTCTTTTACAATCTCACCTCAACCTTTTGCTCCAGCCCAATTTTTGGCTGTTCCTCATTGTTTAACCCCATCTACTTTCTCAATGTTCCACAACGGCTCTGTGCCCTTTCAGAGCTCCATGCCTTTGAACATGGTGTTCTCTCTTTCTGAAATACCCTTTGACTTTCTTCTCTGGCGAAGTCCTATTTACCTTTTAAGATCCAACTCAAACATCACCTTCCTTGTGGAGTTCGCTGACTTTCCTAAACAGTCATTTCTTGTCCTCTGTTTCCATTGCTCATTGAACCAATCTCTATTGTCCTTATCACTGTAGTTTGTTGTTATTTACTTATTAATCTGATCCTCCCTTTGGAGGGAGGATCCTATCTGTTTTAGCAATCTGCCCTAATAATTACCTGAAATTGTTTGCTTGATACCCTTTTGATAATCAAGTAACATATCTTCTTATTTATGTGCTTGTTATTTATGAGTTCCGCATGTTTGAAAAGTTCACTTAGTGTTTCTGGAGAAATCCTGCCCATTTCTAGTGTAAAGCTAGAATGACTTCCTGTTTTCTAGGGTGGAGGTCAGTTTTTCTTCTAATTAATCCTGACCAGACTTGAGAAGGATGTGGTAGGAGGGGTTTACAAGGTCAAAAACAGCAGGACTGTCTGCAGGAGCAGGTTCACGTGTTCTCAGGTTCCAGTTATTATACAAAATATTTAGTATATGTTCAGAGAAAAAGTAGGGAGTAATGATGGAAAAAATAAAAACCACCTCCATGGAAAGAAAACTGGGGTATCGTATTTGATTTTTTCCAGGCTAAGCCCAAAAGCAATGATGTAGTGAGGGGGAAGTTTTTCTTTCCATTTTGCAAAAACGTGATTTTTTTTTCCTCCCGGGATTTGGTAAGATTTTCATAAATTCTTGTGAATTCAATTACAGGGAAGTAAATCCTACTTACTAGTAAATTATCAATTTGTTTCTCTTTTCTTACAAAAGAGAAACAAATTGATACACTTCACATCACCCGGTAAAGCTTATGTTTTCTGAGAAGGCCATAAGCCCTAACGGCTCAGAATCTAAGAGACCTTCACTGATTGTCATCGCCTAGCGGCCACCGCAAACCTTACAGTCAATCATCTTCCCCCGGGCCCCGGATCACGCCCAATGCTCAGACCACGCCCACTCAAGTCGCCTCAGAGCTCCGCCCCAGGCCCAGCAGAAGAAGATTCTCATTGGTGGAGAAGTTGTTCTGATCCCGCCCCGGAGGACGGCGATAGGCTGAATTGGCGTGGGGCGGTGGTGGTTGGCTGCTTGAGGACGGGTCCCTGGTCGTGCCTGTCAGAGAGGCTGGCGGCAGTGGCGGCTCTCCGGGCTGGGTTGTCAGTCTGTGAGAGGAGGGGGAAGATGGCTCGCTGGGACCCGTTCTGCTAGGAAGAAGGGGAGCAGGTGGTGCTGCTACTCGGGAGGAAGCAGAGCAGCTGCCGTCGCTGTGGCTGCGAGCCTCACGAGTCGAGGTCCTGCAGGTGGAGCTCCGGCAGCCGCTCTGGTGAGTCCAGCCGAGAGACCCACGCCGGGCCCCCAGGGCGTCTGGCGACAGATAACTTTTTTTTGTCAGGGAGGAGCCGGGGCGAGGCGGCGGCGAGGACAGGACCGAGACTTTGTCCCCGGGGCCGCGGCTCCACTGGGGCTAACGGCTCCCGCGCGAGGCGCCACGGGTGGGCGCGAGGCGGCACCAGGCGCTGGGGGCTTTTGGCGTGCGGGTGGGCTGCGGCCGGCGGCTGTTCGCCCCGAAGTTGGGCGCAGCCCGCCCGCTGCCTGGAGGGCGGCAGCTTTGTGCGCGCGATTCGGGTCTCTACTTGCCGGCGAGGAGCAGTCCAGCCTTCTGCCGTGACCCGGGTGCCGCCGCCTCGGCCCCACCGGCCGCTCCTCTGCGGGATGGGCCTGGGGCGGGAGCCCCCGGTCCCCTCCCTGCCGCGGCGGATGCTCCGGCCTCTGCCTCCTCTCCCATCCTCACTCTCCGCTCCCGCGAGGCCGCCGCTGTCCGTCCGGTCTGGTGGCCACAATGGTCACTATCGACCCCCCGCCCCCGCCCCTTGGAGGATAGCGTTGGCCTGAGTCGTTCTTGGGTCCCCTGCAGAGCGGAGAGGTTCAGACAGCAGCCACGCTTCCTTCATGGGTTATTACGCTGAAGATCTCTTCTTGAGCCCTTGCCCTTTCTTTCTATGAGTTATTCCTCTCCCGAGGCTCATTTTAACATACTCGGGAATCCTCGGGGGTTTGGCTCCAAATGGTTGCATTAAAACACCCCAAGTTTTTATGCTTCAGAGCGAAATTTGGTGTCCGCCCGTCAGCTTGCACATGTGTGCTTTGTGAGTTTAGACCTTCCTGAAAGATTTTAATTTTGCCTAAGTGGTTTAGTACTGCACAGAATCTGCTCTCTGAGAAATACACTATCACAAGCCTGGCAGCCGCGGCGCTCTTCAGGTAGGGGGAGTTTGTTCCACCGGCAGCTACTCCTTATCTCAGAGACTGCGCTACAGGCAGTAGGGCCAAGCTGACCTTTTGCAAATTATTTATCTTTGGGTCACACAGTAGTTTTTGGAGCAGGTGGGCCACCTCTTTGGTTCTTGTAACACTTGACAGTTTGAGGTTTTCAGCTTTCATATCTTATTGGCATACAGTCAGAAAGACTGGGAAGCTTGTTTTCCATGAGAACATTCTTCTGCTAACATCCACAGGCACCCCACCTCCCCCGACATTTCTAAGTATTTTTTTTTCTTTAGGTGAACACATTTTAAGGTTTACAGGATGAATAGTAGTCTAAACCCCCATATTTTTGAAGTGCAGGCAAAGGCAAGGAAGGAAAAACATTTAAGATTTGCTTGGCCAATAGTAGCTTCAAAGTTAGCTATTCAAATAATCAGTTCAAACCAAGTGGCAAGGGGGAAAAGCATCACATATTTAGGAAACAAATTCTGGATTTGACTCGTTTATCCTTATTCAATTTATTGAAATTACCGTAGAGGGATTAGAAGGATTAGAAACCTTCTTAGTCATCGGCATTAGCAGTACCTGGATACAGACACCCGATGAGGCATTAGCTGGGTCAGCGTTTATCCTTGCTGTGCTTCCTTTCTTTGTTGTATTTCTGTTTTATGAAATTTGCTCTGGGTTGTATTTTTTAGACTGGTGTCTTTTTGACAATGAGTTTAATATACGTACTGTTTTATTCAGCATCCTGTTGCCTAATATTTATTTTATAATGGATCTTAAGAAATTTTAAGAAATCAGTATTCAAGACCTATTTTGGGGTATCGTTTATATTTTATAAATAATTGCCATTATGTCAAGCATAAATTTATTTTTTCACTCTTCCAGGCTGAGTAGGTACTAGGGATACAGAAATGAATGTCATAGCTCTTGTCTTCAAGGAATTTACTATCTAATATACAAGGTGTTAGTAACATTACAGTAAATTAACAATTATAATACTATGTAGTCAGTGGGAATGGAGATATGCCTAGTGTAGTAGGAGAGTTTAGAATAGGAGATGGTTAACTTGCCTTGAGTGTAGGTGGAGTTGGGAGCACACAGCCAAGTTGTGAAGGATGATATAATTTTGCCAAGTGCAGGAGGTAAGTAACTTCCCAAGAGGAGGATATAATAAATGAGAAGGCAAGGAGGCCTGAGAAACTGTGGCGATTTAGATAAGTCATTGACAATGATAAGTCAGTGTCAATTGACATTGGCAGTTGACAAAGTCAGTAACATTGACATTGATGTGGCTTGAATGCAGGGGTTAGTAGGGAAATGGTGCCAGATGAAGATAGTGAGGGTGGTAGAGGGCCAGATCAGGGAATGGTATCCTTAGCTAAAGGGATTGGATTGAACGTGATAGATGAGAAGCCATTTATTGGATTTGTATTTTAGACCTTTACTGTGGCAGAGTGAGGGAAAAACTGACAGGTCCTAATCACCTATGAGAAGAAAGGAGGTCTCACGACTCTGAAGGTTTGACTTGGGGTTCTGTTGATTGAAAATGAAGAACACATAAATGGAAGGAAGATGATAAATTCTGTTTTGAATTTGAAGAAGCAGTGGAACTTCAGGTGAATATATAGATAGATGTTTGTATCTATGGATGTGAAAATCAGGATTAAAGAGATGATTGGGGGTTGAATTGAAGCTGTATTGATTTGGTTGTGTTGAAATGACTCAGGGAAAGCCTTTAGCATGATGAAAGTGGCAGCTAGAGAACAGACTCTCATAAATAGCAGAAGTAGGGAGAATTGTCTGAAAGTTAGAGGAACAGTAGCTAGCAAGGTAGGAGGACCATCAGGAAAGATGCCAAGGGTGGGGAGATTTTCCAATGGAGGAGGAACAGGTTAACATTTTTGAATGCTGCAAGGAGGTGTCAAGTTAGGAGAGGGCCCCAGTGACCACTGAATTTGTCAGGACTCCATAGGTAACTTTAACAAGAACAGTTTTAACTGAGTAGTTCAGAAACCAGGCTTCAGAAGATTGAGAAAGAATGGGTGTGATAAAGTAGACATGCTTGAGTGAGACTTTTTGAGAGAACTGAAATAAAGAAGGGAGAAAATGATAGCTCTAGCTTTCATTAAGTAGTGGTTCTCAATCTTGGCTATGCATTTATTTACAATATTGTAATAATAATTTACAATAATCTCAGGAGCTTTAAAGAATTTTGTTTTCCAGAGAGAACCCCTATACCAATTTGGTGTGGGGGGTGTTGAACCGAAATATCAATATTTATTTCAACAGCTTTTCTGTTGAAGTGAAATTGATATATAATATACTACATATATTTAAAGTATACAATTTGATATTTGACATATGTTTATACCTGCAAAACCATCACCATAATCAAAATAATATTCATCTCCAAAAGTTTCCTGTGTCCCTTTATAATCTTTTCCTCTTATCCCCAGGAAACCACTGTCTACTTTCTGTCACTATTGATTTCTTGCATTGATACTTTTTTATAGTTCCTTAAGTAATTCTAGTGTGCAGCCATGATTGAAAACTATTGCAGAGGAATATTGTTTGAAGGAATGTTATGTTTGTTTGTTTACATGCATAAGGAAAGAGAGAGTAGAGACAAGTGGGAAGAGATTCTTAAGCAATTTAGGAAAGATGAGATAATTATTGGAACTAAGACCCTGAGGAGCTAGAAGTGGATGGAATTCTGGAAGCGACATCTCTAAGAATATAATGTTAAAGACAGTATATTTCTTTGTTATCATCATCAAAGTTGGCATATAGTATCCAAAATGGTTCCCTGAAGTACTTCTGAAGTACTTAAAAAAGTTAGAGAGCATGTTAACATTGTGAAAATGGATACCGCTCAGAAAAATTCCTTAAATGGATCCTGAGATCCCTGGCATCATCATGTAATGCTTTGTCATTTTTTGGAGGGGAGCAGATGGAATTAGCAGTTTGACTATTGCTTATTGTTGAGAGCCAAGTCCTGCCATAGTCTTTTTGACCTTCTCAGAGTTAGGCTGCATATCTGCACTAAGGGAAAAGAACATTTAACACTTGAAAATCTCCTATTTAAGGTATCTTTGCTCAGAAGAAATCTTTTTTGTTTGCCCTTTGGATATATGCCTTATAAATACATTTGAGGATAAAATCATTCCTCTGTCTCCTAAATGAGACAGAGAAGAGTTGTGACTAGAAGTTCTCAAAGGCCCACATTTTCTATCTTGAGAAGGGTAACAGCTATCCTCACCTTACCACCTTTTTTTTTTTTTCTTTTTAAAATTTCTGGCTCAGGATTTGGATATAGGTGAAATTTGAGTCCTGCTGGTTCTGAAGTCCAGGGCTTGTTCCTCAGCCTTGACTCTTAGCTTTCATAGGGGGCTGAAAACAGAATAGCTTATCCAAATATTATTTGGCCTTGTAACTTGGTCATAAATAAAGAAGAAGTGACAAGTTTTGTCTGATTGTATTCTAGAGTTCTGAAAATTTATTTCGTTGTGATTAAATAATTAAAGTATGATTCTTTTCTAGAGAGGAAAGTCATCCCTAATTTTGGTGCAGCCTAAAAGAGTGGACATATTGATGTTAGCATGATTTTGGACATTATTATTATAGTCACAGCCATATTATAAACATTCTATATTTTCTTAATTACTATTATAATAATCATTGTAGGAAATTTGAAAAATTCAGGAAAGCATAAATGGTAAATAACACTTATAATGTCTCCACCCAGAGATCCTTATTTCTTTTGTGAATTACCTATTAGTGTCCTTTGTCTATTATAACACTGGAGATTTTCAAATACTAAGTTATGAGAGCTGTTTGTATATACAAACTGTTAGGTCTGTGTCAAATTACATTGCAGATAATTTCCCTAGTTTGTCATTTTTATCTTAATTTTGTTTTTGATGTGAATTTTCTTTTTAAACAGATTGCTAACATTTTATATGTTTAAACTTATCAAATTTTTCTTTTATGATACCTTGCTACTTAGAAAGGGCTTGCATTCCCAAATTATATGACTGTTCACCTCTAGTTCCT